TAACACCTTATAATGAAAAAAAAAGAAAAAAAGAAGACTAAAATAAAAAAAATAAAATAAAATAAAAATCCTAACATTCAGGTCACTCCCAAATTATATTGGCTCTCCATTCCTATTAGGATAAACTTCAAATTTTAAAATGTGGAAATTAAAGCTTTCAGTTATTTAGCCTGTTTCTTTTCAGTTTTATCTCTTGTTCCAAATAGGAATCCACAACTCTAACTCGACAGTTGTACCTCACGCATGATGATTATACCACTTTAAAGTGAAAAGGCAAGACTTGTTAGCCCAACCTCTAACAGCCCTGTAACACTTAGCAAGTTTCTTGGCCTGTTTCCTGATCAAGTGAGAGTAACGTTTAGTAGGTTCAGAGTATTAGAGTAAGGCAGGATTGCTCAACTGCCATGTTTCACTTCCTACATGAAGCCTTTCTAGATTATTCTAAACTACAGTGTCTTTTTTATGCTTACTTCGAACTTAACCATGGGACAGCCTTCATCTCATCATCTTGCAATGTAAGTTAATTTTTTTAGTAACTTCACTAATGACAAGGATTATATTTCCTTTACATTTTCTAACATAGCACTGTGCTTTACGCATACATAGCATGTCTTTAATACATAATGGGGGACTGATAAGATTTCTTCCCAAAAACTTTAAAAACAAACCTTAAATGCTCTATTTCCCTGTCTTACTGTTTCAAGCATAAAATAACTGTGCCACAGTTATTCAGTGTTTTATAAAACAGGACCAGGCACTGTGCAAAGCTGTGGTAATAGGAGTGCATCCATTGGTTCTGCTCTTAAAGAACTTACAGTCTGGAAAGTAAGAAAGACAAGTAAATACCCAATTTTACCATGGTCTGGTAAGGGCTATAGATATTATTGGTATAAAGCCCCACATTATCATGGAAGTATAAAGGAGGCACCTACCAGAATCTTGACCCATGGCAGAAAGGCTCATGAAAGAGACTAACTAACGTGTAAGGGTTATACCGATAAGGATGGGGGATAGGAGATGAATGATTCTGGCAGGTAGAATAGCAAGTACAAATTGGGTGCAAAGGCCTAATTCTACAGATCTGCAAGCAGCTCACTGCGGCTGGAATATACATGTATGAATGAGTAAATGGAAGCTGTTTAACAGTATGATGCTTCACAACAGATGGCTTTGCAAGTCATGCTAAACAGTACTTCATTGTGAGGGCTATAGAAAAATATTGAAGACCTTTAAGCAAAGGAGTGGCAGTCAAATCTTACAAATTTAACTCTGGCTGCACAGAGTGCAACGGGAGGCTATTTGGTCAGCCAAAAGGTAAACATTTACCCACTTTCTTTTTAAAAAAAATATGCTTTTATTGATTTCAGAGAAGAAGGGAGAGGGAGAGAAAGATAGAAACATCAATGATGAGAATCATGACCGGCTGCACTCCTACAGGCCCCCTACTGGGGATCGAGCCCGCACCCGGGCATGTGCCCTTGACTGGAAACCCACTTTCTGTGTGTAAGGAGGGATTACAGGAAATTTCCAAAAGATAGAGGATGTGAACATTTTTCCAACCATACTCATTCAAGGAAAAAAATTTAATTAAGAGTGACAATGGCTTAGGCACCTGTAGGCTACCCATAAGGGGTCCAATAACTTTTTAAATAAAATATGTTGTACTTCTTTTGACGCTGAAATCACAATCAACGGCTTATCTTGAGAGAAGATTCAGAGTACTACATACGTGATTTCCACAAGCACGGAACGGCAAATGCACCTAATAAAGATTTAGATTTAACACATCCCCCAAGCCGCAAGGTGTTCTGGAATTTACAATCACAGAAAAAGCTGGCTGCCATTCGATGCTCTACCACCTCGACTTTCTCCACTCACTGGCCTGCTGACAGCTGCTGCCGAATCAGGCCAGCTGGCACCCAATAAAGGCAAGTTGCAGAGTGGGTATCGCCTCGACACGCTACTCATCACCCTCTGCTTATGCCACTGCTAGCGTCCCTGCGGTAAACATCACTGTTACGGTCGTTTCTGCTGTGCACTTGCTTTCCGATCTTTAGTCGGTGCTGCCGGCGCTGGCGTCCGCAAAGACTTATTTGTATACGAAGGAAATCTCGGCCGGAGGAAGCCATCAACAGGCAGGAGCTGAAAGCTCGGCCTGGAGCCGCCCGGGGCCACCGGGGGCAAAGGAACAAGGTGAGGGAGCTCCGGGAATCAGAGCTCCGGGGCAAATCTTTCGGGCGCCAGCCACCTCTCCCCGGGGCCCGAGCACCACTCCGACGACCCCATCCTCCGGGCAGCTGCGGCATTCCCGGCGGCTGCAGGACGAGAGAGAGTAAGAGGAAACACCTACAGAAACCCTCCTCCCCGCGGCCAACTCACCATGGTAAGGAGCGGCCCCGCTCCCGCCGGAAGACGCTCTGGGAGCTGGTGTTTCCCTAGAGCGGAAGGGGTGGAGCGTCAGAGGCCGATTGGCTGCAAGCGAGGCGGGGACGGAAGTGCGTGCCCCGGCTTCCGGTTCCCACACCCCCTCTTCTTTGCCTCCCTTGCGTTCCATAGAGACGGAGGAGCCGGCTAGAGCGACTCCTAGCCTTTCAAGGAGTGGGGTGGAGGGTTAAGATCCGAAACAACTAGATCTCAACCACGGGTGGCATGCAGCTGTCATTCTGTTTAATACCTTCAGTATGGAAAGATTTTACTTGACTTTCATGACAGTACCGCTTTTGGAAATTACACGGCAGTTATTTTGTAGCGTGCTCCTGCGTAAATTCAGGTTATACATATTGGACGGGAATGCTACAGAGGTGATCCTGCATTTTTCTCATTGAACCCATTATTGAAATGTGGCCCATTGATAATTTTCACCATTAGATTAAGGTGACATCTGCTATATTTTTCCACTAAAAATATCTTTCCCTTTATAATTAATATTTTGTGGAGGTGTACTTTTTCTTTTTTAAAATGATAAACTTATGTTTTGTTGTTGTTGTTAATCCTCACCTGAGGCTATTTTTCCATTGATGTTTAGAGAGAGTGGAAGGAAGGGGGAGAGACAGAGAGAGGGAAACATAGATGTGTGAGAGACACATCTTTTGGTTGCCTCCCCTACCTGCCCAGACTGGGGCTGGGCATCGAGCATGCAACCGAGGTATATGCTCTTGACCAGAATCGAAGCCCGGATTCTTCAGTCCGCGGGAGGGCGCTCTACCCATTGGGTCAAACTGGCTAGGGCTGGAAATGCACTTTGAAACCATGTCTCTCTCTCTCTCTCAATCCTCACTGGAGGATATTTTTTCATTGATTTTTAGAAAGAATGGAAGACAGACAGAGAGAAACATCAATTGCCTCCTGCACAGCCCCAACTAGGGCCCAGGCCGGAGAGGAGCCTGCAACCGAGGTATGTGCCCTTGATTGGAATTGAACCTGGGACCCTTTGGTCTGCAGGCCAATGCTCTGGCCACTGAGCCAAACTGGCTAGGACAGTATCTCATTCTTCATCACACTTTCAATTAGTTCTTATATATATATGTATATATGTATAATTTATATAGTATTTATATAGCCACATTGGCTTATGGTTTATTTTACCTGGTGGATTATAATCCACTACTATAATTACTTATTTTGATGTTTAAAGTTGTTCAGTGGGAGCCATTCCAATCAATGATTCATCCATACCAATCTTTTTTTTAATCTTCACCCAAGGATATGTTTTTATTGATTTTAAAGAGAAGGAGGGAGAGGGGGAGAGATAGAAACATCCATTGGTTGCCTCCCCTCCAGGCCCACCAGAGATCAAACCCACAACCTAAGTATGTGCCCTGACTGGAAATCAAACTGGGAACCCCTCATGCATGGGAGGGACTGAGTCACAACATCCAGGGTCATCCTTGCCAGTCTTTGAGAACTTTTCTGGCACAAGATAGCCCAGGTTCATCATGTACAGGAGCAGGCAAAAGTAGGTTCACAGTTATACATATAAAAATACAATAAACAATACAAGAATAAACTGTTTTGTATACTCACTACTGTAAACCTACTTTTGCCTACCATTTTATGTTCTTTGCCCCAACCCTGGAATTGGCTATTTCACCAAGGAACCCTGGTTCTTTATGGGACAGAATGTTTGTGTTCCCCCTAAAAATTTGTATGTGATTGTATCTGGATGTGGGATCTTTGGGAGACAATCAGGTTTTGATGAGGTCATGAGGATGAGACCTGCATGATGGTAGATTAGTGCCCTCATCAGAGACACCACAGAACTTGCCGCCTCTCTGCCACATGAGGACACAGCAAGAAGGTGGCTATTTGCAAGCCAATGAGAGCTCTCACCAGAAACCAAATAGGCCTTTATCTGGGATTTGCCACCATTCTGAACTGTGAAAATAAACTTCTGTTATTTAAGCCACCCACTCTGTGATACTTAGCCCAAGTAGACTAAGATTTTGATAACAAGAAATGAGGTGCTGCTCTAAAAAAAACATGTAAAAATGTGGCAGCTTTAGCAGAATAAGACAGTGAAGAATTTCGAAGGCAAGCCATGAGAACTCAATGAAGAGAATTAGAGAATATATGTATGTGAGCATATATGTACATTCTCATGTATCTACATTTATCTACTTTTGTCTTCAACCATTAATTCATACTCTTTTAAAAAAATATCTTTTTATTGATTTCAGAGAGGAAGGGAGAGGGCAAGAGATAGAAACATCATTTTGATGAGAGAGAATCATGGCCTCCTGCATGCCCCCTAGTGGGGATCGAACCTGTGACCCAGGCATGTGCCCTTGACCAGAATCGAACCTGGGACCCTTCAGTCCACAGGCCAAAACTCTATCCACTAAGCCAAACTGGCAAGGGCATGAATTCATATTCTTAAATCCAATTTCAACCGAACCCCACAGGTTTCATTCTAGGTTTTGCCCTTTTTGAATTCATAAGTAATAACTTTCTCTGACAGTAAGAAAAATCAAGCTCATTGTATAGCCTGGATGCTGTGAAAGATTGATTTTAATCTTTGTTACAATGAGTTTCTTTCCATTTTGCCCATAAAGTGCAGTGCTTAGTTCTGGGTTGTTGTCCTTCCTCCCTTTGGTTTCAATGGGTATCCCAAAGTATACAGTCCTTTTAGTGGAATTTTAATTTCAAATTGTATTACCCCAGCAGTTGCTACCTCTACTCAGTTCCTTAAATTCAACTATTGCTTTCTGCTGGGTTCCTCTGAATATTACATTGCACAAGTGATACCCCGAATGGCAAGCTGGATTCCAGGTTCTTGTCCTATGAAGTGTGAAGAATAAACAATCTCGGACTAAAAGATTTTTAGCAAAAGCATGGAAATTTATTGCAGGCATATAAAATCTCCTATAGGAGGGGTCCCTAAATGGGAAAAAGACCCAGTGAGATTCTTTGTCTAAGGGTTTATAAATGCTGGCAGCTTCTTTGTACATGCTTTCTAACTGGACCCTTCCTCATTTTATGACACCTCGTGTTTTCCCCTAATGGGCCAATTTCCCCCTTTCCCTGCCTAGTACCAGTTTCAAAGTTTCCAAGCTCACTAGGTTCTCACCCTTCCTTTGATAAGATAAACACTATAGTGGTATTGGAGCTGGCTCCATCCTTCAGTCCTTCACGTATGCATTCCTTTCCCATGGACCCTTCCCTAACTGCCTCTCCTATCTCCAAATCCTTTCACAAGTACAATTTGAAAGGAATCTGTAGACAGATTTTGGGGCTTATATGTTTGAAGCTCTCTCCTTTTCAAGATTTCCTTCCTAATTTCCAGCTGTTCTAGAAGATCCTAACAATCCCTCAGCTGAGCAAGACTATCACATTCTATTTCCAAGCACACTGCACAAACTGGAAATTTCCCTCTGGGTAAAAGCTAGTATATTAGTTTGTGCAGTTGATGCCTGTTTGCTCTCTAGTCTTTTAGATTTTATTCAAAGTTTAAAATTGTTGGCAAAAGAGTTAATCCAATACAAGCTTCTCTATTACTAGACTGCAACCTCTGAAATCTAAGTTTCAAATAAAAAAATTAAAGGTAAAATAAAGTTTGTAATTTATTTCAAGTCCATTAGGATAAGTACCACTTTATGCAACCAAACCTTTTAATGTATTTCTTGTGAAGAAAAGTACAAAATACCAGATTAAAATAGAAACCAGCATTTAAAGGAAAATCCTTTGACTTATAGTCCAAAACCAAACTGTAAATTCATTCTACCAAAAGAACTAGTTTTTTGTTTTTTGTACAAAATATAAAGAACTTTACACTATAAACAAAGACTACTATATATTTACTTAAATTAGAATTCTAGCATCTGCTTTTCCTCTAATTATTTCCAAGCACAAAGCATACTGCAGGACAGAGATCTGATAACCTCATTGGGCAAATTGCCTTAGAATAAGCTTTTACACTTAAGATATCTTGAAAGATAGTATTCTTTCCCTTGGCTTAGAGACCAGTACATCAATAGGTCCATTTTTTTTTAAATGATCTATTTCTTTTTTAAAAAATGTTTTTATTGATTTCAGAGAGAGGAAGAGAGAGGGAGAGAGAAATAGAAACATCAATGGTGAGAAAGAATCATCAATTGGCACCTCCTGCATGACTTCCCCCAATTGGGGATGGAGCCCACAACCCAGGTGTGTGACCTCCTGGTTCATGGGTCGACATTCAATCACTGAGTCACACTGGCTGGGCATCAGTAAGTTTTAATTTAGCTTACAAAACTCTGCCTTATTAACATGAAGAGCACACTATAATTTAATGTTTAAGCATTACCTTTTAGGAAGTGACACAGAGTTCAATGCAAAATCTAAAAGGTTACAATCTAAGTCTAATATTAATTTTAAAAATCTCAGCAACTTCTATATTGAAAAAGACCGAACCAACCCCTTACACCTTCTACTATTATCATTATTCTATTTTCATGGTCCTTCTATGAAAGAAACACAGCTTAAAATAAAACTTGGTCAAATTTTACCAAGAGTAAGAGTAAAACTAAGAAGAATGTTAAAAAAAAAAGAATGTGTATCTTTATTATAAAATTCTTATCTAGCAGGGGCAAGGTTTTAATTTGTTCTCTCAAAACCAAAGATATTTTTCCCAAATGAAAAAAAATCTTTGTTCCTACTATAAAACTCTTCTTTCCACCTACGGCATTTTACACAAAAGCACCAAAGAAAATTTCTGTAAACAAACTTTTAACCAGTAAACTAAGGGCAAATATCCATTTGCATCCTGTAAACAGTAAGAAAGTAATAATCATAAATTAGAAATGTCTTAGCTCCCAGTACTTCCCTTCTCTCACACAGGAACCACTTTTACAGCTGTTAAAATTGGCTTTCTTAAGTATTAGGATAATTCTAGCAGGAAATAAATTCCATTAGGAATAAGTTAACAGTCTCAATAGATTTCTGGCAAATATGTTTTAAAAAAAAGTACTGTGGTCACACAAGGATTGATCATGTTGTATGACAGAGTGACTCAAAACTTGCAAATTTCTCCTCTTTTATTAGACTTACTTTGTTGCTCTCATATTGCTTTATAAATTGTTTTGTAGAAAGGAACTAGGAAAATAAAAAAGTGAAAAGAACACAATTGTTTAATGTCTGTAGTTTTATGGGGAAAAAGCCTTCAAAATCCTTTTTCCTATTTCTGTTACACAGAAAAAAGTTTCATTTGGCACACAATTTGTAAAAAGAAAAGGAAAAAAAAAGAAAATGTTTGGCATTCCAATCACCCATAGTAAAGACAACAGTAGGAGAGGAAAATGGGAAAAATTACTATTTTAAAAAAAGACATCAGAAGACAACCAATGGCTGTTGTGTCTTTCACCCTTTACTGTCTCTGAATACTTTCATCTGTAACACATACATAAATTATTATTTACATTCTGATTAAATTGGTAAAGAAGACCAGAACCAGTGTTTATTGTGCTCTAACTTACCCTGCCCATCGGGATAGCGATTACTATCAAGGCAAGAAGGCCTTAAACAAAATATTCCATTTGCATTGTATATTTTATTTAAATTTGTTTTATGGTTTATCTTCTGGGATGCATAAATAATTATAAGACTCTAAAAAGTCCTGTAAACTTAGGCTGAGTTTCTGTAGCTGATAACTATTCACTGAAGATGGTGTGTTTCTCCCTTGATAAGAAAATGTTCTGCAGGCTTACAAAGGTATTTTCTTAAACAGTGGTATCTCCAAAGTCCTTGTTCCAACGTATGTACGCTTCTAAGGTTTGAGGGCCCACGCTGCGTTTTATCTTTTTCAAGGATTCAGTGAAGTCAGATAATCGAATATTTCTCATCTAGATTTTTAAAAAGCACATGAAAATACAAATGATGAACACATTCAGTAGTTAACCCCCAAATGGATCAAATGTTACTATTTATTAATGTTAGAAACATATGTAGATGAATTTTTAAAATATATATGTATTTATTGATTTCAGAAAGGGAGGGAGCAGAAAGATAGTTAGAAACATCAATGAGAGAGAATCCATAATTGGCTGCCTCCTGCATGCCCCATACTGGGGATCGAGCCAGCAACCCGGGCATGTGCCCTTGTCTGGAATTGCACCTGGGACGTTTCAGTCCGCAGGCCAATGCTCTATCCACTGAGCCAAACCAGCTAGGGCAGTAGATGAATTCTTTAAAATCATGCCAATCATCTTATTTTACATATAGGTTGGGCAAAAGTAGGTTTATAGTTGTAAGTATGGGACACATAGAGTTTATTCTTATATTATTAACTTAGAGGCCCAATGCACAAAGTTCATGCAAGGAGCTCAGCCCTCACAGCCATGGCGGCCTGCCTTGCAGCCCTGGAAGGTTGTCCAGAAGGACATCCGGAAGGTTGTTCGGCTGTCTGGTCTAATTAGCGTATTATACTTTTATTATTATAGATAGGCGGTTCTCAACCTGTGGGTTGCGACCCCTTTGGGGGTTGAACGACCTTTTCACAGAGGTCGCCTAAGACCATCGGAAAACACATATATAATTACATGTTGTTTTTGTGATTAATCACTATGCTTTAATTATGTTCAATTTATAACCGAAAATACATCCTGCATATCAGATATTTACATTACGATTCATAACAGTAGCAAAATTACAGTTATGAAGTAGCAAAGAAAATAATTTTATGGTTGGGGGTCACCACAACATGAGGAACTGTATTAAAGGGTCGCAGCATTAGGAAGGTTGAGAACCACTGTTATAGATGGTTGTGTTATTTCCAATAAGAACAATGGTAAACTTACTTTTGCCCCATCTTGTATATTAGATAAGATTGCTATATAGGAAATCTTATAAAAATGCTATACTAATATATTTTTATTACATATGTTTAGTTTCCTATGTATTAACATTTTAAATCATATTTTCCCATTATCAAAACAAGACTCACTCATTAGAGATAATTTGGCAAAATACAGACAAGCAGAAAAAGAACCACTCACTCATAGTTCCAACATTAGATAGACAACCACTCCTTATCTCCTTCCAATTTTTTCTGTTTATAGGTTCATAGAATTTACATTCTCAAGTCTCACTCACTATATACTCTAGCTAACATTCATGCTATGTTTACTAGAAAGAAAAGGGAGGTTTATAAGAAGCATGTAGGACTTTTAACCAAATGTTTTTTGTTTTGTTTTTAAAATATATTTTTATTTATTTCAGAGAGTAAGGGAGAGGAAGAGAAAGATAGAAACATCCCACCAGCGATCTAGCCTCAACCCGGGCATGTGCCCTGACTGGGAATCAACCGTGACTTCCTGGTTCACAGGTTGACACTCAATAGGCCCTTAACTGGAATAGAACCCGGATCCTTCAGTCCACAGTCCGACGCTCTATCCACTGAGCCAAACCAGCTAGGGCTAAGCAAATGTTGTTTTTAACTACAACATGTATGATGCTTTTATCTGAAATATTCTAACATTAATACTGCTTATGATGCATTTTTAAAAAACATATTTTTATTGATTTCAGAGAGGAAGGGAGAGAGACAGAAACATTGGTGATGATAATCATTGATCGGCCACCTCCCGCACGCCCCCTACTGGGGATTGAGCCCGCAACCTTGGGCATGTGCCCTTGACTGGAATCGAACCCGGGACCTTTGGTCCGCAGGCTGACACTCTATCCACTGAGCCAAACCAGCGAGGCTGTAATATATTTTTATATTAATGTGGTTTTATTTCTGACACTATAATTGGCTTTAAGAATGTAGAATAAAATAATGCTGAGTTCATTACCTAAGGATTTTCAAAAGGCGAAATGGAGTTTGGCACAAAATGACTAGTATTAAAAACTGTCAGTAGCCAAAACCGGTTTGGCTCAGTGGATAGAGCGTCGGCTTGCGGACTGAGGGGTCCCAGGTTCGATTCCGGTCAAGGGCATGTACATGGGTTGTGGGCACATCCCCAGTGGGGAGTGTGCAGGAGGCAGCTGATCGATGTTTCTCTCTCATCGATGTTTCTAACTCTCTATCCCTCTCCCTTCCTCTCTGTAAAAAATCAATAAAATATATTAAAAAAAACAAAAAAAACAACTGTCAGTAGCCCTGGCTGGGGAGTGCAGTTGTACACTAATAAGTGGGGGGTTTGACTCCTAGTCGGCAACCAATCCAAGTTTCTCTTTCTCTCTCCTTTCCTCTCTCTCTAAAAATCAATTAAAAAAACAAAACAACAACAAAAAACTCCTCAGGTGCAGATTAAAAAATAGTTACTTGTAGCCCTGACCGGTTTGGCTCAGTGGATAGGGTGTCGGCCTGTGGACTGAGGGGTCCCGGGTTCGATTCCGGTCAAGGGCATGTACCTTGGTTGTGGGCACATCCCCAGTAGGGGGTGTGCAGGAGGCAGCTGATCGATGTTTCTAACTCTGTATCTCTCTCCCTTCCTCTCTGTAAAAAATCAGTAAGATATATTTTTTAAAAAATTAAGGTTTTACAATGGACATAAGACACTGGGGGATAGGGGAGGCTAGAGGACTGTCTAGGGCGGGGGGAAAAAATGGACACATATGTAATACCCTTTGTAATAAAAAATTAAAAAAAAATTAAGGTTTTAAAAGCTTTTGATGAAATTCTAATTTAAGTGTAAAATATGGTGTATGTAAACATATATCTATGTATGGTAATTTAAAGTTAGTAAAGAGACTAATGTTTGCAACAGGAAATAGCAACTTTGCTTGTTCAGCAAAGAGGGAAAATAAATAACAAAGGTATTTTTTGTTTCTTTTCACTGATTCCAGAGAGGGATGGGGGTGAGGAGAGAGAAATATTGATGTGAGAGAGAAACATGGATCAGTTGCCTCCTACACATGCCCTGACCAGGGCCTGGGTAAATACTCACTTGAGAATATTTTTTTCCCATTGATTTTTAGAGTGGAAGGGAGGGGGAGAGACAGAGAGAGAGAAACACTGAAGTAAGAGAGACATATCGACTGGTTGTTTCCTGCATGTGCCCACGTGAATGCAGCCTACAATGAGGTATGTGTCCTAGCTGGAATTGAACCCTTGACCCTTAGGTGAGAGGGCTGACACTCTAACTACTGAAACACACTGGCCAGGACATGATATTTTAAAAATATGTGTGTTGCCCTAACCAGCTTGGCTCAGTGGATGGAGCATCAGCCTGCAGACTCAAGGGTCCCAGGTTTGATTCCAGTCAAGGGCATGTACCTTGATTGAGGGCACATCCCCAGTAGGGAGTGTGCAGGAGGCAGCTGATCGATGTTTCTCTCTCATCAATGTTTCCAACTCTATCTCTCTGTAAAAAATCAATAAAATATATTAAAATATAAAAATATGTTTTCAGGCTCTTGTCATTGGAGTGGGCTAAGTTAACATAGCATTAATAAAAACCAAGTTAGTATGTGTGTTTTGTTTTTTTAAAAAAATGACATTTTTATTATATTGAGTCTTCAAATACAAAGATGTGGTATATCCTTCCATTTATTTATTAAAGTCTTTAAAAATGGTTTTCAATATATTTTTTTCAGGAAAAGACTTGTAAATCTTTTTAATATATATATATTTTTATTAATTTTACAGAGAAAAGAAGGGAGAGTGAGGGAGAGAGAAACATGGATGTGAGAGAGAAACATCAATTAGTTTCCTCCCTCACGTGCCCTGACCCGGGGATCAAACTGGCAATGGGATGATGCTCAACCAATTGAGCCACACTAGCCAAGCAAGGTATCTTTTAAAATATTCATCATTGGTACTTTACATTTTTTTAAAATTTATTTTTATTGACTTCAGAGAGGAAGGGAGAGGGAGAGAGAGATAGAAACATCAATGATGAGAGAGAATCATTGATTGGTTGCCTCCTGCATGCCCCCCTACTGGAGATCAAGCCCACAACCCAGGCATGTGCCCTTGACTGGAATCGAACCTGGGACCCCTCAGTCCGCAGGCCGATGCTCTATCCAATGAGCCAAACCAGCTAGGGCTGGTACTTTACATTTTTGCTCCTGATAAAATAAATGGTATCTTTTCTTTAAAAAAAAAGTTCTACTTTGTTTACTCCTGGTATAGTCATGCCTTTCAGAGAGTTGTCCTACTTTGAGGCAAAGGGGCCTGGCCTTTATACCCCACATCAACCAGGCATTGGGTAAGGGCTGCCCTCAGGTACTGAGTATGACTCTGAGTGAAGAGTCTTTTGGCCTGAGGGCAATGCCTGGAGAGGGATTCAACTGAGAGCTGTCAGCTGCCAATCTTCCCACCAGCTAAGACTCTGCAGTCCTGAAGGGAAATCTTGGCAGAGTATCACAGCAACCACTAAACGCCCTTGAAGGGGTTAAAGAAGTTCTTTTTTAGTCTTAGTTTTCTTAAAAGGTCCTGTTTTGGTAAAAGGAGAGTTGCCCAGCTGTATTATGTGGGGAATTGGATCTGGTGTCTAATTGCTTCTTAAATAGACTTTCAACTAATCCTATTTCACTCTCAACTTTACCCCAGTTTCAGAACTGTTTGTTGTCCTCAAACCTGAACTTTTTGATGGCTCTGCAGAACAGACTGGCTTGTTTTTAGATTTTGCTCACTGCCAGCAAAGAAGATGCATTTCTATACACAGAGTCTTAATGTTCTCAAGTAGTGTTGAATGGGTTCATCTTCATATAAAAACAGATTTCACTGGCCAAATGTGACCCTTTAACCATAAAAAAAATTGTAATAATTATAATTGATTTACACATGTGGTGGGCATGTTCTGATGACTTCCACCTCTTATTATATGCCTTTGTGAAATCCCTTCCCTGAATGTAAACTGGACCTCATAATAGAAGACTACAGCCCTAGCTGGTT